GATTCAAGATTTGAAATCAAAATCCAGTAATAAAGAATCAGGAATTAAGGTATGTTCGGCATTAATTAATTTTCTTAGTGATTTGACATGGAGGATCTTGGCAATAAAGGAATTTAGGTTTTCAAGTTCTAAAGTTTCTAATTTTATAAAGTTTAAATTTTCAACATTATTGACAAAATTGAATTCTTAAACATAGAGTAAGTGTCGATGCTATATAATATGTTGAAGTATATTGAATGTTTGAGCACTTGAATACTTTTATATCCATCAATTTCTTCTCATTTGGAATGGGCATTATTGCTGGACATGTAATGAAATATGACTTCTCTCTGTGAAGATCACCTCATTCTTCTATATCCTGGGAGATTGTGAATTCGGCTCAATGACCCCCCCCCCCCCAACAATCTGATATTAATGTCCCTAGAGGATTCATTCCTCTATATGAGTGTTTTCCTCATAGTATCTTTTACGAAATTTCTATTTCTCTAACCACCTATGTCCTTACAAGAAGTTGAACCTCACATCGATCGATTATTTCCTCTCTACTATAATAATTTCCATATCTTCTTTCGCATTTCTACACTTGGAGGTATCATAGTCATACTCATGATGGTACCTACAATACTTGATAAGATTTAATCTTCCATCCCTTTACCTCAATTGCATGATCATGGCCTCAAAGCCCTCTAGCTTGATATTAAAGCTTTTAAAGTCAGACTACATGTCCGTTGTGCTTCCTTCAATTTCTGCTCTTGCCTCCCTCCTATTGGAAAGCCTACTTCGACAATTCCCAATTTATCAAAAAGATCTATGATCTTGTAAGGTCTCTGCTTTCGTTGCTTAGCTCCCCTACATGACAATTGGTAGTAATGCGATTCACGCTAGCTTCTTAACGAGTCTTCGGATTCTCTTCCATTTCCTTATCTCTAAGAGGTGGAATTGCCTCAAGAATTACCTTGTGATTGCATTTTCGTCATTGATTGTTGTCAATTTTATTTTCACAAGTGTACGGACAGTGACAAATAGTAAGTGGACCTAAGAGTCCGGATTGTCGATCTCACGAGAACTATACTTTAGCACTTAATTCAATTTTTCTTTAACCATTATTTGATGAGATAAAAACTTGTAGGATTTGGATTTTAATATAAATACAAGAAAATAAATGGATGGATGCACGCACGATTGGTTTGAAAATCAAATAGTGATGAATGTTAGGGGCAAAATAACTTTATCTATTAGTCACCTTTACATCTTAAATTAAGATTCACATCTAATGTAATGTTCGATCAAATTCTCCTATTATATTCAATTTACCCCCTCGAGTTCTCATTGAACATATTTAACTAATTAAGTTCCATAGCTCTATGCAAATTTAACTTAATTAAACAAGTTCTTTGTCTAAGGAATTCAATTATGACCGCAATAATTAGTACATGTATCTTTACTCTTTATGCCAATGAACCGAATTTGACTACATGGTCTAAATCCTAAACTCATATCTATATTCGTAAAGGATTCAAATTAGTGATCAAGTAATTTAATACATTCAATCCATAGTAAAATCAACACATGGAAAAATAAAAATCCAGAATCTTAATAAAAAATATAAATGATCCCAATTGGTTACATTATTCGCACTGTCAATGAATTTAACTATTCATAACGAAAGAAGAAAAATAATAAATTGTCTTAGAATACATAACCAGATTTGTAGTAAAGATGTAGAAGAAAAATTAGAATTCTTGCACCAAGATCTCTTTCCTCTTCCAATCAATGTGCCAAGCTTTCAATTACTTGATGTTTTCCTTCTTTAAATTCCTCTTTTGATTATCCAGTAGTGTTTATTGTCTCTAAAAGTGTGAAATCCCTCTTCAATGCTTTTCTCTAGGGTTGTATTTATGTCTTATTCAAATCTTAGAAGAGTTTTAGTTGAGTTGGGCTTTAGAAAAGATGAATTTCACTTGAAAACCATATTTGACGGCAGCGAGTTCTGGGCACTGCGATTGGGCGCCTGATTGTTGACTTTCAGAACAAAAATAAAAAAACATAGCACATGGGCACTGTCGTCAGCTTCAATTGCACTGCACATCATTCAATCTTTTTATCATAAATTTTTCTTTCGATATCCAATTAAGACAACTCAAGATGCTTTGGAAAGATGACTTAAAGGGCTACAACTTTGATTTAGATACTATTTTCAAATTCAAGCATATTCTATGTAAAAAATGGGTCACAATATTAGTCTGAAAATGGTTCATAAATTTTTTCGGTTGAAACTTGATGTGTGATCATACTTTGATTATATTTCATCCCTTTAATGTCTTTCTTTATCCAATTCACTCCAAGCTCTCTTGAATCTTCATCATGAGGTCCGATATTACTTTTTGAGTATTTACATTTTGGTCCCTAAACTTTGGATCTTGCTTTTCTTCCAGGTTTCTTGTACCCTCATTAAATTTTACCTATTCAACACTAAAAGCAATGATTTAGACCATAATTCATCTGAAAAGCAACTAAATATCATCATTTTAAGGCCTTCAATAAGTGCATTTTATCCACTTATCATCAATATATTATATATTGGTATCCATATTTGCTACCTTTTAAGTTAGCATGACCACCAGTTTTGGCTTATAATAGTCCGTTTGATTGCAAGAATGAAATTTGAATGGAAAGAAAATAAATTTTAAAGAATTAAATTGTCTAAAACTTGTTTTACTAGAAATTGTTAGTTAAATGTATTTGATCGGTATAATTTTTCACCTGAAAAATATTGAAATTTTGGATATTTTGGTGTTCGTTTGACTTTGTTTTCCATGAAAATTGTCAACTAAAGGGATATAATTTGTTACAATGGTGGATAAAATTTGTTTCCATTGCCCAAAAAAATTAAAATTAAAAAAAGGTAGAAAATTGATTTCCCACCAAACTTATGGGAATTGGTTTTCTACAAAACCAAGGAAAATGGGTCACGGGAGGAAGGGGAAGAAAATGAATTGCCGGAGAACTTTTACATTTAAACAACGAAAAAGGTGAAAATTTTCCATGAAAAATTGACCGAATGAAATAAGCCCTAACTTCTTCTCCAAACATTCCTTTTCGTTGAGATGGCAAAACTACTGCTCAGTTTCTCATCCATATTTGTTCCATTTCCATTCATATTTCTGAAAGTTTCTTTTTCCTCACGTGTTTTTCCCTTGTGGTTTTATTGAGTTTTACCACAAACGGTACTAGATTGTTGACCTCAAGCACATAAAATATTTTTTAAAGCCAATGATAATTTTCTCTCCCCCAATTTATATAGGATTTTTCCTTTGTGCATTTAGTATTATTTCTTCACCAAACTGTTGACCTCGCAAAATAAATAATATTATAAGCCAACAATAATTTTCTACAACCAAATTTCGACAGCGTTTCCCTCTTTTTGGAGATTTTCGTGTGTTTTGGATGGCAATTGTTTGCACAATAAAGAAAAGATAGAGATTCTAGATTTCTTTCAATTGAAAAATATTCTCAATCGAAGATATCATGTTAAATTTCAAGAGGTCCGACCACATATGCTTCTTTTAATGTGAAGGTTTTTTCAGAGAAGATAATCTTACGATCTTTAGAATTTTAGAGTGCTTAGGGACATTTTAGTCATTTTCATAAGTTGATATTCATTCATCATGATGTTGGAAGTCATGATTAAGTCTCCTTTGTAAAGCTTGTTGAATTTTTACTTCATAATGCTTGTCCAATAATTCATTATTTGCACGCATGGTTTTTCTGCACTAAATTGCAGTTGATTCTGTTAGAACTCGCATTGAGGTTTCCATTAATCTTCGAGGCCAAATCGAGGCCTTTAGACCTATTACTGGTCGAAGTCTCCCATCATGATTTTAGTGAGTTACGGGATCTACACACTCTGTTTCTTAGGGAATCCTTGATGGTCGATGCATCTTTCTTTCAACTGTGCCTCCGAGACTGATGCACGAATGTTCAAAGACACATGACCATGTAAGAGGCCTTCTGTGGCTAACTTGAAAATTGAAATCTAGGTGAACAATAATTATTTCGTTACTTGATACGCTCAATTTATCCAACTCCAATTTCCATGTTCAAGTGACTTGCCTCGACCTTAATTTCTCATTTAGAAATTGGTTTTGAGAAACTAAACCCTCGTTTGGCCCCTATTTTTTGGAAAGGAAAATGGGTGGTTGAAAAAGAAAAAAAAATTTCGATTTACGTATAACATTATTTTATGGAAGATTGTGTTGTTGAAAATAAGAGAAAGAAAAAATTGAATGTAATGAAATGTGATTCGAACATGGGCTAAGTATACTTGGTTAAGCTACTCGTTGAGTAAAATATATTCGTATACGACTAACTAGATCCGCTCAAATAATTGATCAAAGTTGATCAAATTCAACTTATAATAAACAATTGCCAATATAGTTTAGTGGTATGTGAATGAAAGACAACTAGACATAAATTATAAGCACAGATTATGTTTACGGTTCAAGAATTTCTGACTTAATTTGACTTATTCAATCAAGCAAAATGGGACTGAGGCACTTTTTTTTTTTTTTTTTTTTTTTTTTTTTTTTTTTTTTTTTTTTTTTTTTTTTTTTTTTTTTTTTTTTTTTTTTTTTTTTTTTTTTTTTTTTTTTTTTTTTTTTTTTTAAGGTAATCCTTTTTAATAATTTTGCTCACAAACTTTATATCGATTAAATTGTTGTTACCATTTTATTCTTTTTAAAGTAGTGGTATCAAAACAGACAAATCACTTAAAATTCGATAGGCCATCCCACGAGGCGAGTCCATCTGGGTGCGAGTCCGTGAGGGTCCGGTTGCCCGGTTTGCCCAACTTCATTTTGACACCTAAATATATGAAGCACAATCTTAGGAAATAACAAATAGGCTAAATATTATTTTTTATTTTTATTTATTTTTTATTTTTTTTTTGAAAAAGAATTTGCTTATGGCACTTCACTTGTCACCATGTAAACACCACTTCATAAAAGAAAACGAAATAAAAAATAAAGATTTTCTTTTCTTGAAAATGGAAAGAGTAAAAGAAAAGGAAAATGAAGGAATCATTGGCCCTACTCGAAAACCCCAACAAAACCCTACATTTGTCATCGGCACACAAGATCTATACCCACACTGTTTCACAATGGCCGCTGTCGCTGCTAGGTCGTGCCTTCGTTCCGCCACCACATCCGCCCGAAGCGCCGCTTCTAGGTTCTCGGCTGGAGCCAAGCCCAAAGCCGCTAGCTCTCCTTTTCGCACCTCATCTCAAAGCCCCATCACCGCTCGTATTTTCAGGTTATTCAGACAGAATTCATTAAATATTTCAATGTGAATTACTTTTTCACCATTCATATATTTTTCCATATACGTATGTGTGCTAGGTCACCAGTGGAGTTGAGAAGCGTTAGCGCAGTATCGATGCTACCGTACCACACTGCAACTGCCTCTGCATTGCTCACTTCCATGCTATCTGTTGCTCCTCGCTGCCACGCTTGGACCCTCGAAGGTATATTAAGTTTTTAAAGATACGTATATGAAATTGTTTGTATGCACGTCTTTCTTATCGTAAGTTAAATTTACGTTCGATATTTGCATCTGATTTAGACAAAGTGGACAATCGGTGTGATTGTGTGGATTTTGTTATCCATAACCTTAAGTTAGGATTTCTTTTTTTCTTTTCTTTTTTTTTTTCCTTTTTTTTTCCTTTTTTTTTTTTTAAATCCTTGATCCACAATAGGTTTGAATTACTAGATAGGATGTGAAAGGCATTTGAGTGAGGCGGCTGGTATCTAGGAATATATTTGTGCTTCTTACTAGTTTTGGGGTTTTAGATTGGTCTTTTGTGATCTTCAAGGAAAAAAGGAAGTGGAGACATATTTTGCACTAGCCAGTCATAGAGCATTGCATAACTAATGGCATCAATCTGCTTACTTGACATTGCTCCTCCGAAACCTACCTCATATTCTCTCAAATTTTGTGTCATCTTATTTCGGTTTTCACATCCCTCTCAAAGTAAAAGAGGTGTATTTTTTTCTCATCTTGTAGGGCGAGAGAGGACTAGATGAAGATCATAAAAGGAGGTGAAGTGATATCTTTTTTCTATCTGATGGAGATAATGAAGCATTTTATGTCTTATCTTATCCAAGATTAAGGGTGGTTGAACCTCCATTTAAAAATATATCTACTAATAAACTTTGTTGATACGAGTTGAGAAGTTATATGGTTGAACATCGTTGTTTTGAGTTTGCTTCATCTAGAAAGTAATTTTTTGTTCGTGATCCAGGGCTACAGCACGGATTTTAGGATTAAGGTTTGTAGGATTTTTAGCTGAGATTTGAGAAAATACTGGGTTATTAGTGATCTAAAGGAGTGTGGTTATAGGACGGATAAGGGGTGAAGAACTTTGGGTATTTCCAGACATAGATGCTCTACAGAACTTTTTTTGTATTTATAATTAAATAGAAGTCAAAAGTATCCAGTTTCAAGGGTTTAAAGCATAAACAACTTGATTTGATGATTCTCAATCCCTTAGTTTGTCTAGATTCCATGGAGACCTTGCCCTTTTAAAACGACAACTTTCAGTTTGGAAGAAATTATTTAAATGTCTATCTCACTACGCTACCTACAAATCCTGGAAAACAAAAATTATAAATGTTATATTATAATATTAAGAAAGACTGATTGCTAGGTGAAAGCTCAATGTTAATCCATCTTCTTTTAAGGTTATTTTAAGCTAAAACTTGGGTATTGAAGTAGCTCAATCTATGAAACTTGGGGTAAACTCTTAATAGTTTCCACGCTTTTTATAGATTAAATTGGTTGCTAAATCATTTTTTTTTCATAGTCACAGTCAATGGATTATTACTCGATCACTGATTGGGATTCCAAAAGTCAAAAATCATATTTGTGCATAGGGAAATATAAGGATGCTATCTATAACACTGAATACAAATGTGCCCCTGTAGAGTTGTTTTTCTGGGAGAGTAAGGGAACAAGTGGCATATTAGAGGGAATAGTATTGAGGGTCAGGTGTCTTACATGCTTCAATGTCATCATTTATGATGATCTTTTCTATTTTCTATAAATTGTTCATATTAGTTGTTTAGTCATTTTGATATCATACATATTTTCAAGAGCATATCTATATGAATTTTGAAATTGGGATTGAGATTCTAAAGAATTCTCGAACTGTTGCTTAATTGTGGATCATATTATCTGGGTAACATGGTCAACCTTTTTGAGTTTGTCAAGTATACCTATTTAACTACATTACTAGTTTAATCATATAAAAATCATGCTAATTTGTGGTATTCACCCAGATTTCAATGATGATGTATGATGACTATTGGATGGTTCGAGCGAAGTTTTATTTACATGGGCTATAGGAGAATGCCGGATAAGTAGAGTCTTGAATGAACTCCAGAGAAGATACTATCAATTACTCTGCTGTCCTTGTATTTTAATAAGAATGTTAAGTTTTGATGAACATAGCTAGATGAGTTTCACAATAAAAATGATGTTTGAGGTTCGTGGGTTGTTCACAACTTTATTAAATGTTTGAGCTCCTTGAGGAGCCAATATTGGATAAGTTACTTTCAGTTGCAAAGTAATTTTTTGAAAAGCAAGTGGAGAATCCTTTGTGTGTTAGCTATATATTCATGCAATGTTGTTCTCTGTCACTGAAGCTGCGTCTTATGGTACTTAAATAATTTAGAAATTTTGCATTTGCTAGCATTACCAACTTTCTTTGTATGACCTTTTGACTCCAGCTTTTCTCTGTTTAGGGTTGTGATTACTGCTCATTGGCTGACTTTCGGATTGAAGATTTCCAAATTCTCCCCCTTTTCCTTTAGATGAATTTTTTTTTTTGTATTTTCTTTTATAAGAGATCATAACTTGGACTTGGAAACGTGATGATGTTTGTTTGCTTCTTGTGTGACTTTTAGCCGTCATTGGCTAAACTAGTTACTATTTCAGCTACTTCCCTTAAGAAAATTTTTTCCTTGTATTGTAGATGGATGATTATTAGAATGTGTTGAGATGCGCGGTGCATTTCGTCATAGTTCCATGGATGTCAGTGGACATGTAATACTACTGCCAGAGACGTTATTCTGCTTTATAGCAATAAAGTTCAATTGTTAAGCGATGTTTGGATAACCATCTTCTAGTAGGTTACTCATTTTTTGTTTGGCTGACGTTTTTTCTTGTATAGCTCTTTTAAGTGGTTATATCTTGAAGTTTGGTTTATTTGGACTACGTAGGCTTTTATAACTTCACAATTGTTCAAGGCGGTATGCGAAATCATGCTGGTTTTATAAGTGGTGTTCAGGTCTGTAGTCTGGATTCATTCATGGTTTGAGGTTATTGACATTTATTATGGAGGATTTTGCAAAGAGATAAGTCTAGAATCTTGATCAGTTTTCTGTATGTGTTAACAATTCTTGTATAATTTGATCACTGCTGTGGCTTTGTTAGGATAATTTTATTCTCAGATGAACTGTTTTATTTGAAAAATTCTCTTATCATGACAAAGTTTGAGGTGGTGTTGTGGTTTACCACTTCAGGTATTCATTCTTTGAAATATCTTGACAAGGTTATACCTTCTAATCATCCACCAAACATAAGTTAGGTGCAGATGTGGAAACACAATTGATTTTTGCAAGTCACACTTGGAAACACAATTGATTGAGCCGAGCGCTCGTACAAAGACGGCTCGAGCTCGTATTTGGACAACCATGAGCGGAGCGGGACTCCTCGCTAGGCGAGCCAAACCCACTTGGCTAGCCCAAGGGTGAGTGGCTCGTAAAAAAATGGGAATAAAATAGAAAAAAAATTTGAGCTCATGGGCTTGGCTTGTGAGCACGAGCCGAGCTCGACCCTCGAGCACTCGTGCTTGAACGAGTCACTTTGACGAGCTAAGCTCGTGAGTAGATGGGGCCGAGCTGAGTCAAGCCGGCCGATTGTCACCCCTATCACAGCATATACCCTTTAGGACGTGAATTGCTGCATCACCATTTACGAGAAAGGGTTTGGCTCGGCCCTACCATAGCGTATTCCCTTCAGAACGTGATTTACTGCATCACCATTTTACGAGAACTCGTCTTGCAATTGCAAATTCAAGTGGGCGCCATATTTTAGATCATTATAATACAACAAAAGCAATTTACGTGGCTCATTGCATAGCAGCTTTGTTTTAGCCTCTTCATTCCTGAAGAGGTGTTATTCCTTGTACCGTGCTGTCTATAAGCTTTAAGATGTTAAAAGTTAAAGAAATTTATTTATTTATTTATATTTTGTTAAGAATTGGAAATCCTAATTCTATTCCATTACGAGCAATCAACTTAAAAAATATATAAATAAATAAACAATATAGAATATGCAAGATTTACAAAGGTTAACCTCAGTGTGAAATTGCACCTTCCATCGTCGCAATAATTTACTATGATAAAAAATGTTTATAAGATAAAATATCAACTCTCTCTCTCTCTCTCTCTCTCTCTAATAATATATAAAGCACAAGGGCTACTCCCTATTAAAAAGATAAATTAGAAAAAAAAAAATTGAATATTACAAGGATTACTATTCCTTCATAGAATTTTGTAAGAATACAAATTTCTAAATGGTCCTTAACTAAAATTTTCGTTTGGAGCCTTCCTACTCCCCTGGGAGGGGGCAGCCTGCCCCCTTCCAACCCCACCAACCTCACCGCGGACATTGATTCACGACCAGTTCTACAAAGTGGCAATAATTAGGACTCGACAATAATTAAACTCCACAACTTGACATATTTTACCTTCAAGCTACCACTGGTCAAATGCTTCATGAGTAGTACAACATAGGGGATAACAATTCTTGTATAATTTGATCACTGCTGTGGCTTTGTTAGGATAATTTTATTCTCAGATGAACTGTTTTATTTGAAAAATTTTCTCTTATCATGATGACACAGTTTGAGGTGGTGGTGTGATGTTCAACTTCAGGTATTCATTCTTTGAAATATCTTGACAAGGTAATCATCCACCAAACATAAGTTAGGTGCAGATGTGGGAACACAGTTGATTTTTGCAAGTCACACTTGTTTCCCGTATCATTTTCACCCTAAGACTTGGTTTTTCAATCTTCCATAGCATTTCCTTTAGGGTGTTTATGTATTGTGTTATACTTTTAACTTGTTTTCTCGGTGTTTGGTAAGTGTTAATGTAACTTGCTAAACTCCTAAACTTTGTTGCTCTTTCCATAGCATATTCCCTTTAGGACGTGATTTGCTGCATCACCATTTACGGGAATTCGTCTTGCAATTGCAAATTCAAGTGGGCGCCATATTTTAGATCATTATAATACAACAAAAGCAATTTACGTGGCTCACTGCATAGCAGCTTTGTTTTAGCCTCTTCATTCCTGAAAAGGTGTAATTCCTTGTACCTTGCTGTCTATAAGCTTTAAGATGTTAAACGTTCGAGAAATTTATTTATTTATTTATATTTTGTTAAGAATTGGAAATCCTAATTCTATTCCATCACGAGCAATCAACTTAAAAAATATATAAATAAATAAACAATTAAGAATATGCAAGATTTACAAAGATTAACCTCAATGTGAAATTACATCTTCCATCGTCGCAATAATTTCCTATGATAAAATATGTTTATAAGATAAAATATCAATTATCTCTCTCTCTCTCTCTCTCTCTCTCTCTCTAATGATAATACATAAAGCACAAGAGCTACTCCCTATTTATAAGATAAATTAGAAAAAAAAATTGAATTTTACAAGGATTACTATTCCTCCGTAGAATTTTGTAAGAATACAAATTTCTAAATGGTCCTTAAATAAAATTTTCGTTTGGAGCCTTCCTACTGCGAGGGGGCAGCCTGCCCCCTTCCAACCCCACCAACCTCATCGCGGACGTTGATTTACGACCAGTTCTACAAAGTGGCAATAATTAGGACTCGACAATAATTAAACTCCACAACTTAACATATTTTACCTTCAAGCTACCACTGGTCAAATGCTTCATGAGTAGTACAACATAGGGGGTCTCATATATGGGCACCGATAAAACTTTATGTAGTCCGCTCAAATGTTTCATTCTTCTCAAATTATCAATGGTATAGACGTCCGGGCTCGTCTTCCACAATGCAAAAACACATGGTCAGTTTAGAATTTGATTGCACGCACACGATTATTTTCCAGCTAAAAATGTCATTGCACACACAAATTGAGAATGGTATTCCTTGTGCGAAGACCTCACAACTTAATGCTTGCTGAGTTAAATAAACAACGAGTCCCTCACACACACACACACACACACAAATATATTCTATCATGATCCATGATCCAATCTTTGCTGCCTCAATGAGAAACATCTTGACAAGCGCGCCATGAGGACCTAATGAGAATTTTGGCAGAACATAATACAAATGGAAATCCACAAAATCAAAGCCTGCATGAACCATGAGTAAGCAGTGGCAATTTCTGCATTCAATTTCCTCAGAAGCAAAAGCAAATAAAAAACTGGACAAATACCCAGATATATTCAGAGGCAACACACGGATCACCAATCTTGAACTAATCTCATGTGTTATCATATTTCTACGTTTGAAAGAAACTGCAGAAATCCAAATCCAGGGACAATCTTTCTTATATACCAACAATTAAACAAGAATTAAATTAGCCATATCACATGTGAATTCCCAATAAGTACAAAGTAAATTGTATATCTGCATAAGCAATTTCAAGATTTTTCAAACGACATTCACTAACTCGTACTCAATCAGGGATAGGTTGTTATCCTCTCCAACTCCAAATGTAGCAGGCTCGAAAACCTCAACCCGGCACCATATACCAACAGCTAGCCTCATAGAGCCTTTGAACATGTCAATTTTTGCATTCCAAAGGACCATTGTGTCACCTGGCTGCATCATGTCAAACAAATGGTACTCATCACTGACTAAACATGGCAAAGAACTTGCAGGACCATTCATTCTGGATGCTCTCAAATAAGCCACAAGGTAATAAGATTTTAGCAAACAGCTTGTTAAAACAACACCACAGCACAAATTTTATACATGAACTGAAACTCCAAAAGAGTTCTATCACCACATAAGTGACAAAGACTCTTCCCAATCACAATGACATACATGACGCAACTAAAAATGCGAGTTATTAATAAACATCAACAACAAATTTCGTCCAACTGCAACAACTTTAGGTTTGCAACAACGATCCTTTCTCAACATTTCTGCTCATTTCAAAGCTACCCCCTTATTGAAGTTTAAAAAGAGATGTTTTGCAACTGGATCTAGTTTGGCATACTGCTCCCTTTTCTCATTTGTTTTATTAAGAATATACTAACTCCGTCCCGTAAAGATAGGCTTGATTTCGTTTTTCGCCTGTCCCAAATTATAGGTCCTTTCCTTATTGAAAGTGTAAATTTTTTTAGTTTTCCACTATAAACAAATATAAACTAATCATATTTAAACCATTATTTAATGTAGGGCTATATTAGGAAAAATGTAAGAAAAATTTACATTTCTAACTATATTAATTACATTTTCTCAATATCATCCAACTTATCATACTGTTATGTACATCTCATGAACATTTTATTCTATGAGCCATTTTCAAGAATATCCAATTTTAGGGGTGTGAGTTGAAAAATGTCCACTATTTAAATTTAGTACTAAAGTGTCTATTATGTCCTTAATGAAAAAAAAAAAAGAAGTAATTTATTTATTTTTTCAATTTGTTGATGATTTCGAGAAGTAGCTTCCATAAGAAGCTACATTAAAATGATCTTATCGACATTTCAAATGTCATTCTCGATATTTGAATTTTTTTATATTTTAAAAGTATACATGTCAAATCAAAATATTAAATGTTCTCGACATTTCAAACGTTGCTCTCGACATTTTAAATATCTAGAATGACGTTTCATTCCGAATATGTAATTCTCGACATTTTTGTGTCAATGAGAAAAATAGCATTAATTGTGATTTGACATGTGCACTTTTGAAATAAATAGGGCAGGTTATGCGTCAAAAATTTATTGGCCAATAAATTTTTTACAAAAATGTCCATTTTTTGTCTTTGTTCACAAGGGTATTTTGATCCAAAATATTCTAAAATTGACATTTTTGCAGGGATTTGTGAAAGTGAACATTTTTACAAATGGACATATGAAAGTGGACATTTTAAGTAATTTCCTAGTATTCTATAATGCCACAGCCCCTTTTGACTTAATAGGGATCTTTCAATCACTTTATCACTTCCTTTTGGACAACCCTTTTCTACATCAGTACTACATTTATATAAACACTTGTGATTTCCTGTTGTGTGTATCTTCTATAATGTGATAATGCCTCTTTTTCTCATACACTGATCGCAACACTTCCGAAGAAATTGCACCATATTTTCTCCTAAGTCAATCTCGATAACATCAAGCATGAAATAATTAGCAAATGCATCCAATGTGTCTCAAAACACAAAAAACTGAAAGAACACACAAAAAATTGGGCAGAGGAGAAATACTTCTAACCCATTTGATTTGTATTTTGAATTCATTTTCAATCTCTGTTTTGAGGATCTATTTTAAAATTACTAAAGACGCATTTAATTTGTCATCTTAAAAGTTTATTTTTAAAAATAGAAAACTAAAAAAAATATGTTTTTATTGAAATTTTAAAAAATTATTCTCTTGATTTATGTTGATAATATTCTCATCACTGGAAATGACAGTGGCTTTATCAATTCTATTATGCACGAGATGCAAGCTGGAATTGCCTTAAAGGACTTACTTTCTTGGTATTCTAGTTTCAAGAGATGATCAGGGCCTTAATTAATCTCCAGCAGCAACGTTTCATTACCCTTTTCTATTTTTATTTTTTATTTTTTTAAAAAAAAAAAAAAAAAAAAACTTTTTGAATTCCCGGTTTGAAAGGATAGATGGGACGATTCGGGTGAGATCCAACTTTCAATTCACTTGTGGAATCCGGACGGTCCGGGGGGCAGGGGACTACCACGGCTCCTCTCTTCTCGAGAATCCATACATCCCTTCCAAGTATATTTTGGACATCTTGCACCGTGCTAAAATGATTGGTGCCAAATCTTATTCTGCTCCCTGTACCTCGGGTAGTAAATTTTCAGCTTCCAGAGGTGATCCCCTTGAAGAAGTTACTGTTGCTGAGTTATATTGGCTAAGGATGGTTTTCAGAGATTTGCTCCGACTTTGGCTCTTGCTTCGAATCCTGTTTTTCATGCTCGTACCAAACATTTGGAGGTTGATTTTCATTTCGTTAGGGAGAAGGTTTGTTGTCCATCTTATTTCTAACCATGAATCTAGGATAATACAGTCACATTATTTTTTTGTTTATTGGACAGACTTTGAATTTAATTCATGTGTATCTACTCTGTTCATGTATCTCAATTATCTATATAATAAAACTTTGAGTTTCGGGTCATCAAGCCAACACAATCTTCTCTAAAATCTTTCAAGATTAGGAACTATAGGATCTGAAGTCCACTTTATTCTATATCCCTTCCTCTTTATAATCAAAGACCTGATCAAACCCAACTTTCCTTCAGAATAAAAAATAAAAAAAATTTAACCAAATATTTCAATATCTGTTATTGGGAAAGAAGAAAAATTTAATGATGTTGGAGATCTTTTATGGCGTGCACGGGAGTTGTGATGTTCCTCCATGGAGCCCATTTCTTCTTCCACGATCTCTCCTCATTTCCTCTCCTGACTGAGCCACCGCCCGCCACCCACCCCAAAATTAGAAGAGAAAGGAAGTTTAGTTGAAGTTCTTGATTAAAAAGCATTTTTATTTATACTATCACATTTAAAGGTAATGAACACTATTGATGACAAATGATATTACTCTGTTAGCGAAAGAGGAAGCTTGTATGCCAATGGCAACCTGTTTTTAAATATGGAAGAACTATTCAATAATATTGTTTATATTAGCAAGGCCTGACTCCTTGAAACATTTACAAATACAATAGAATATTTTTGCATTCTTCTTGAAAAAGCAAGTTTGCTTCTTTTTATGCTTGTACAGACATGAATTAAGTGCGTTAGTGCCCGTACTACATAATATGATAAAGGGAAATGAATAGCTTATTAACTTGACAACCTGCTTTTTGGCAGCAGCCCCTCCAAGAGTGGCGCCATGTGGACGCCCTGTTTTTTACCCTATTTTCAGTCTTGTCCCTCCATCTTTTCTGATTAACTTGATACCAAAAGTACTTTTTATGTTCTAGCTCATCTTATTTAAAAAGTCATATCGTCCCCAGGGCACATCTCCAAATGATAAAAGGGGAGGGTGGAGAAATCCAGCTTTGCCTGAGGCTGTCGCGTCAAGGGTTCGAATCCTGAAATATGGATTTGGCTCTTAGATAAGTGCAAGTGTACAAGCAGCCTTCCACCCTATACTCTTGGAGGCACAACCTGCGATTTACCTCTCTCACGATGCTCCAGGGCAGGGACGGTGGGGAACCCTTAAAGTTGGGGTTCAACCTTTAAAAAGTCATATGCATTTTCGATAAGTTGGGATTTTTTTAAAGGAGTATTTGAAGGATTGCACTTTCTTTCGAGATCTATACAATGGGTTATGGAATATGTTACCTCTCCAACATATTTCGTAATTTTGACTGGGAGACTAGGAGTATACATGGCTTCTTCAAAGGTGGGAAATGTCTCCGGCGAGGTGATCTGCTATCTCTCTTTTTGTTTGTGCTTTGTCTTGAATATTTTTCTAAAATGGTTAAGGTGGCCACAAATGATAGTGAATTCAATTATCACCCTAAATGTGGCCCCCTAAAGATAACTCATTTAACTTTTACGGATGACTTGATACTTTTTGCAAGGGGAGATGTTATGTCAGTGCAATTTCTTATGGATTGTCTTTCCAACTTTGATTTTGCATCGGGTTTGAGGATGAATATTTTAAAACCCAGCTTGTATATAGTTTGTGTTTATGGGAAAGAGCTTGATGATATCATTGAACTCACAAATTTCCTGAAGGGTACTATGTCTTTCCGTTACTTAGGTATCCCTCTTGCTTCGAAAAAACTCAAAGTTAGTGTTATGATCCGTTCCTTGATAAAATTACAGCTTATATTGATGCTTGGAATTACTCATCTTTATCTTATGTTGGTAAGGTGGAACTTATTAGGGCGATGCTTGAAGTTGTTAAATGTTTTTTGCTTTCTATTTTTCCTATTCCAGCTACTATCATTTCAAGAATTATTACTCTTTGTCAGAAATTTCTATGGGGCTCCAAAAAACCTTTGGTAGCTTGGAAGGACATTTGCTTACTGAAAAATGAAGGGGTCTCGGGTTAAAAGACATGAAGAGTTAGAACTCGGCTTTGCTTGCTAAATCTCTTTGGAATATTCATCGGAAAAAGGATACCCTTTAGATAGGTTGGGTAAATCAATTTTATCTTATAGGGGCTAGTATTTGGGAGGTTTCATCCAAGAAAGACGACTCCCCTTTACTCAAGAAGTTGCTAGAAATCAGAGATGCAATGTTAAAATCTGATTTTTTTGCCCAGATTTCCGCAAGGGGACTGCCTATGCAATCAGGCCAGTAGGAGGCGAGAAGTAACCTGGATTATCCAGGCCAGTTAGCCCCAAATTAGGATCATGGGGCTGTTCAAGTAGACGCAAGACTGCAAACGAACAGAAATCTCAACTGAACAATTTTGGACAGATTAACTGCTTGGTCTTCCGGTGGAAAATTTTGCACAAGTATGGCTTATGATTTTTTCCGGCCTAAAAGAACGAAGAAAATCTGGCCAGCGGCAGTTTGGAGCCCTTGCATTACACTGAAGCACTCCTTTTGCTTTGGTTAGGAGTTGAATCTAAACTCGTTACTATAGAAAAATTGCAATACCTGGACATCGATCGAAATTGTGTTCTTGGCGGAGATATGGCAGAAACAGTGCAGCACCTTTCCTTTCAATGTACATTCACATCTACCTTATGGGGAAAGGTCAAATAGTGGATTGACATTAGAAGATCTATATCAACACTTGCTAGCACATTGAAGTGGATTAAAAAAAAGGCTCATGGGACATCGTGGCTAAGCAAGGCTAATTGGATTGCACTTGCAACTACCGTCTACTACAAGTTAGCTCAGAATAGGAAGATTTTTAAAGACCTTACACCACGATTGGATTGTATTGTGAGACGAATCAAAATACACGTATACGAAGTTATATTCTCTTTGTATCCGGATGTCTTAATTCATTTCGAATCCTTAGTGTTAGATCATTGATTTTTATTATACTTCCTATATTTTTGTTTCACCCAGGTATGCTCAAAGTAATTGTATGCGACATTGGCTTTGTTTTGTCCAGGTATGCTTAGTGTACTTGTACATGACTTTTTGATCAATACAATTTATATTTACCGATAAGAAAAAAGAAAAAAAGTCACATGCAATATAAACTCTATAAATTAATAAGGAAGGGGCGAGAAATTTTATTATAAACGCCCATTTCAAAGCGTAAAGATTGAGAAGAACACTGGGTGGGCGAATAGGGGAAGAAAAAATAAAAGGTGGATGGGGCAATGCAATGTGGTTTGTTAAATAAAAGACAGAGAGGACTTTTACCACTACAAAGAAACATAGCCAAGTCTTGCATGTACACAAACAAACAACTCAATCAACTTGCAAAGCGAGTAAAGCAGAAAAACGATCTCTCATTCTAAAAAAATACAGTCTCATGATGTTTTTGTGTGTATCAATACATATTAGACCGAATAGAGTGAATGAATATAAAGTATAAACGTGAAGGGGGAAAAAAAGCTAAAATTTTATCCATTTTACTACATTATGCTGTCCAAAACCATATAACAAAAACAATCAATTATTTTGCATGAATATTGGAACTAATTGAGAGAACTAAACTCAGATATCAAATAGAAAGTAAATAATTTATACACTTGGTGTTTGCACAAGGGAGGGTACTCAGTTTTACCTCCATGTAATACAGAAGTATGAACTGGTGCATTTAAACTGCCTTCTGAGTAATTATTCATCACCCGGTTTCCTACAAAAATGAAAGTGCCTGGAAAGATTACCTAGAAGAACGTCTGACCTCAGAATGACATTTTCAGCCGGCAATCTTCTATTCTTAAATTCAGCAGAATCATATAACTTCATAACCCTACCAAATTTCATGCAAACCAGCTGATATTGAGATTGAGAATGCCATTGGATTCTTTTTCCCCAGAAGAACCATTACAATAATGGCTGGTTAAATCTTGTATTAGAATGATAAATGTATGGGACAGCATATACAACAAGACACGATAAGCAACATCTGTCTTCTTTAACTTCACTCAAATCAACAAGGATTCATCTGATATTATAGTCAACAAAGAATATTTCACTTTAACTCGTATCATCCCACTCTCTACACAAAGTTTCGCACCTGTAACCATCCAGTACCCAGGCGGATCTTGGGGTCCCCTCGCCATTTCTTTTGTGTCAACAAAATGCGACATTTTTGGAGCTCTTGCAGGGGAAGGTGGTCCACCCGGGTAAACTGCTGAATTCAAATTCACCTTAGCTGGCAGCTTCTGGGGTTGATTCAGTACACTGCTGAATGGTGAACTGATTAGCATTGAAATTAATCCGGATTTCTTTGATGAGGACGTGGGTCCATCCCATTCCGACCTACGGATTATGGCAGATGCTACCATCGAGAATTCAAGCCTTAGGAAAAGGACCTTCTTCATACCTATAACCTTGACCTCAAACCAGGCCTTTGTCACAATAGATGCAGAGTCATCAATTCGCGCTCCGTGATACTCTACTGGAGCAGTACATACATGAGAGAATATGCTCCAGTTGACAGGTTCAAAGTATCCTCGTTCCATGGGTTCATCAACTGGCTCGTAACTATGGTCATCCATAAGCTGAAGGGACTCAGGAAGAGTTGAGAGATGCTGCAGATGGATAGCCAGGAGATCACTTCTCTTGCCTTCCAAGTATAACCGAATTCCAGTCACTGGCCGGTTCTTGGTATCAACCTGCAATTTTTTCAATTTGATTATAGTAGAGAGAGACAATATTACTCTTAAAATGGTCCTATCCAACTAAAAATATTCAATAGAATATCACATAAAGATAATTAAAATTCTACAAACAAAGTCCAATGAAAATCTTGAGACAACAAGGTACTATAATATCTTCGATTTTTATTTGTCCTCCAAAAAAGCACAGAAAAAGTTCAAGTAGGCTGGGAAGGCATTCAATTTTGGTCCTTCTGGTATAAATTTTTTTATTTTTCGATTACACCAAGAACTTGCGATCCATAAGTATTGCAAATAGCATAGCAATTTTAGTCGCTAGCTATCAGAAATCACCTTCACAGTATTGACATAGAGCTTGGGACCCATAAGAGAAAATTTTAATGATGGAGATGCTTTTTTCTTGCGACGAGGACCAAGAGGAAGGTCGTTGTATGCAGGAGCCCATTGACGGGGCAACTGAAATTCCAAAAATTGACTCAGTTCCTCTATTGGTGGTTTGTCTGCACAAATAAATGTCACCAATAAATGCTATCAGAAAAGTGTCCCATAACTTTTAGTGACTTTATCAAGCAAGAAAAACAACGAGGACATTTTGAATTCCACGATCTGAACATAGAAACAAGCATTTCACTTAAAGCCTTAGACAAGGAAAGTGATATGAAAAGATGAGAGATTTCTAGATGACAAAAATAATAACGGTACTGAAACTAAATGCAAAGTCAAATTTAATTAAATAGCATACTCACATCGCAGGTATAGATTAATTGCATGGCCTAAAAATCCACTGCCGCGAACACCACTTAAAAGAGATGCTATAGGCACAAAAGACATTGATATGACATTCGGAGACTGGGATACAGTCGAAAGCCACTGATTATGACTTTGGCCTCTATCTAAACCTCCCATACGAACATGAATACTTAATATATCCTGCATCAAGACATATACATTAACTTGTATCGAGAATGTGAAGCTCAATAAGTTAATAAGAAAATTAATAAGAAGCTCACATCATTTTTGGAGTGAGAAACAACAGAAGGTCTCATTGCATTTGCAAATGGTAGATTAAGATCCCAGATCATCGGTTCTTCCTGTGAATAGATGAATTTGAAGGAGAAATGATTAGCCTAACGAGTTAATCATAGAATATTATCCATTCAATATTAGTCATAGCAAGTGCTACCAACCACATGACCTTGACCATTTATGGTGGGCTACTTTTGTAAATAACTGTAATGCAGATGGTTTATCAGCCCATCTTTTACAATTAAATTTCCCTTCTTAGATCAATAATGTGGCTGAAAAATTTGTTTTAGGCCTGAACTCTCAGCAAAATATGCATATTTTTTATAGCCTATGGTAGTATCTTGTGAGGCATAAAATGTCAACATCTCAAGTGAGGCAATATAAGGTGAGTCCGTACATGATTTCTCTATCTACTGTTACTTTCTCATCCTTATACTTTCCATTCAGCCAAAGCATTATCTCAAAAAATAATTGCACATTCAAGTTTCCAAATTTAACAAAACATTTCGCTTTCAACTTAATTTATTCTATGTATATCATTAGACATTTGCTCAAGTCAATGGTCATTAAATATGAAGTGTGAAAAATGTGGAACTTTATTACATGCAGCAGAAAATTAAATGAAGATCTTACACAAGCAAACTAAATTGACATCAATATATGTACTTGTTACAATGGACTGTTAACTAGTGAATATATGATGCAACTTAAGGCTGTTTGAGTGAAGAGCTTTTATACTGTCAGTGAATAAAAATCTACTCAAACTAGATACAAGTGTTTAATAATGTGGCACTGATTATAAGATTTCAAGTACCTTTGGCTTTCCTGATGAATTATCGGCTTTCGGTACCAGACCTCCATTTACTTCAGCAAATTTTTCATCAGCTAATTGTTTCAACAATTTCTGCACTTCTGTTTGCTGAAGACTTGAACTCTGAAGCTGCTTAATGTGAATTACATCCTTACCTCCCATCTTAACCCCAACGACAACATGGGTGCCATATTTTTCAATAAACCTGAAAGTGGAAATATTGATTCTCAAGATCAATACTTACAACTAAAACTTGTACAAATTGCAGTTTCCCAACTTGTCATTGGACACCAACCCAAGATGCGCCTTAAAGAAATAGAGAATGTAAAAATAATAAAGATATGTCCTATATTCTACCAACTTCAGGAATGGATTCAATGCATCCATAACCATTTTTCAGTGAAAAGTCGGTTAAAGCATGTAAAACTATCAAGACATACTTCAAAGGTTCAAACATCTATGCTTTTGTTTGGTAAAATTTATAAATCATTTATTTATGGTCAAACTTCATTTTCAACCACTCATTCTAATGGACCTCTGTTTGGTAAAATTTATAAATCATTTATTTATGTTCAAACTTCATTTTCAACCACTCATTCTAATGGACCTACAAGTACTATCCATTTATCCATAACTCATTTTTATTATTTATAAATTATCCCGTTTATAAATTCCTTTCTTCCCAAACGGATTTATCATAAGTAAATGGATGCTGCATATGGAGTGTAGCTAACACCAGCATTAAGCAAAAAGAGAAAAAATTCAATGTTACTTAACCATCATCAAATCTCAAAACCAATATGCAAATAGTGACTAAGAAAATTTGAACATTACTTGTGTACATTGGGCACATACAACTTAGGCAACTAAGAACATAGACATGGCAAGTAAGAGCAAATTACCAAGAATGGACTTCTTTCGAGGATCTTCTAATAGTGAGAAACAACTTTTTAACTGTTGGAGATTTACTTTTTCTTATTTTAGGAAAAGCGTGTACAGCTGCAACATCCTACGGGCATCCTTATGTTTATTTATTTCAGTTTATTAGTAATCCCTGATTTGTAGGGTTGGATAGAGGCTCATTTATAGAGATTGATACATATTTCCCTTTCCCATGTAAATTTGTAACTGAAACCCTAGCCTTTACAGGATAATTAATTCAATAGAATACTTTTCCCACATGGTATAGATCAAGTTATGTATAAAATATTAGTTGGGATCACATAAGAGATCGAATATTGCATATGCAGTTAGTGTAGTAAGTCAGCTTATGCATAATTTCAATACCGAATCGTTATCTTAAAGCTACATCAGGAAAGGGAGTTCTGTTTAAGAAGGGTGTAGAGTTGAGCTTGGAAGCTTCTTCCGATGCTGGATTAGTTGAAAACAGGAGGTAGACATCACGGTATTGCACTTTTCTTGGAGGGAACTTGGTGACTTTGTGAGTAAGAAACAAAATGTAGTTGCAAGAACCAATGCAGAGGTAGAGTCTAGAGCGATGGAACGTGATACTTACAAGCTACTATGGCTCAAGATAATACTTGGAGACCGCTAGAACTGATTAGGCTTTATTATGATGCCAAATCGGCTATTATCATCGCACATAATCCTGCACAATAAGATTGGACCAAGCATGTAGAGGTTTATAGACATTTTATAAAGGAGTTGGAAAGTGATTTGATTTACACCTCTTATGTTTCCTCATATGGTCAACTTGCAGATGGCCTAACCAAATGGTTTGCTAATACTACATTTCAGACAATCACAAGCTAGTTGGGAATGAACAACATGTACTCATGAGCTTGAGGAGGGTGTGCAGGAGATTTCTCTTTTCCTATTTTAGGGAAAGCGTGTACAGTTGTAGCATCATAAGGGCGTAATTATGCTAGTTTATTTCAGTTAATAGTAATCCGTGATTTGTAGGGTTGGATAGAGGCTCATTTATATGGATTGATACAAATTTCCTTTTCCATTTGAACTTGTCACTGCTACATTAAGCACCCCAGGATATTTAACTCAATAGAATACTTTTTCCACAACAAATAATTGAAGAAAGCATCAAGCTAATTATCTTACTCAGCCAGAGCAGCAGAATCCCATGAAGAAGGTACTTCTTTCTTCACTCGATCAGTTAGAGTTATTTGAGATCTTGCCAGCTCAATTGTGTACAAACTAATGAACCAACCATCAAGAGCAAGAAGTTTAGTGGTAGATGTGTCCTTCTGCCAGCAGCCCTTCAAGCCAAACATTGCATTAAAAAGACCAGAAGGTATTTTACCTGACAAAGATAATTCCTGGTTAAAATGCTCTGACATCTGCATATATTCAAATAAAAGAGAAGTCATTAGACAAAAGTACTCAAAAAATCAAGTAATATAAATGTTTGCATTATGACATTCCAGAACCAAGGCTCCCTACTAACCAGGCACAGCACTGAAGTTGAATATTTCTCTGCTATTCTTATTTAAGAGAGGTATTTGACTGTCAGAGTTAAAGATTTCATTTTAGTCCATTATATTAGTCTGAAATTCATCCTCTCTTGCTACGCATGCACAATGTCCTCCAGGAAATTGATTTGTTTCTAATAGAGGAAACTAGGAGTGTTTTAATTAAATACCAATATAATCCCAATGTATTGAACTTCGAAGATCAATTATCAGCACAATTATTAACTGACCAATATATTTCTATCATATGTTTTTAGAGCAGATCTGACTAGTATGTGAGATTGTGTGTGTGTTTAACTTGTGAAAATTGCAATACTCTGTTAGAATTATATTCAGAAAGGTGGTCTCCCAGAATGGAAGAGAATTTCCAATCAGAATGCCATTGAAGGTTATCCCAAAATCAAGGCCTGGTGCAACATCTAAGAAAGACAAACCTTCTCATATAGATGTCAACAATATCAGTCAAAGAAAAAGATCTAGTGTCGGATTCAATGAAAAAGGATTAACATTTAAGAAATATCAAGAAAAAGAAAGTAGGTCATTATAGCTAAAATATTATCAGTGGTGATTAACAACACCAATACTGAAATGCAGAGTTGGTCAAAGTCGACTTCCAATTTCGAATACAGCAACCAAGTTAGTAGTTCTGAACCCCAAAACATCTCTTTCTGACCAAAATGAAGTTAAAAACTAAGCCGTAGTAGCAACTTAACCAATGAGATTGACTTTCTATCAAAGGGTAAAAGGGAAATATTCACAAATTCAATAGTGGTGGCAAACGGAAAAGTGGGAATTTTCCTTTAGCTACACAACTCATCAGAGAACTATGATTCGTACGCTATAATCTGAAGGTCAATATTCATAAAATTACTGGTTTGTGCAAATTCCTTTCCACCGAATTGAAGAATACGGGTTGTAATTTTCCATCCCGAGATGATAATTATTTTTTATAACGATTAACGAGTGAGAATTTAATTAAGTTTGTTTCAGCTTTCTACATTCAAATTTTAAAATTAGCAAACACAACAAGAGATTGTTATAAATATTTTCTTTTTAATATCAAAGTAGTAATTGCTAATTTGCTCTGCAAATTAATTGCTTCAACACCTTCCATCTCAAATCAGCATCTTCAATTGAAACAAAATATAAAATGAAACTTCTATGTTCCAACTAGAAAAAAGAAAGGAAGGAGATATGAATGACCTGATTGAAGGAAAGAGCATCGGAGCAAAACCTGGTGCGTTCACCTTTATCGCACTTGATAGAGGCCGATACGCCAGGGACAACCACGCCGCCTGGCACCACCAGGTCCTTCATTTGGGTCTGGACCAGCTCGATCAGACCCGAACCATTTGGACCCGCTTTGCAAGCCGACAAACGGATATCCGACGTCAGATCGTACCCGAACCCGATCACAGACACAGCCTTCTCAGCTGCCGTCTGCGGGTTCATCGTAGCATTGTTATTAGGATTGTACGCCATGCGAGCGTCGAAATTGAGGTGGTTTGAATGTGGGTTTTGGATTATTTTGTTGCTGGTTGAAATTGGAGGCAAGCTGGAGCCCGAATATGGAGTTCTAAGCGCAGTCCAGATGAGGACTGAATTTCTAAAATACCCTTGTCAACGTAACGAATTACGAGGATGAGATTATCATGTTGTTTGATCAAATTTATAATGATTTCGCACCGGAATAAACTTATGAGTGAAACTTGGGGTTGATCCACGTTTTATATGAATTAGTCTGCCGAAATAAACTTATGAGTGAAAATTGGTTTAATTTGATTTTCTATTAAACATAATCATAATGGGTCGGGTCAATTATGATTTGAAGTCTCAAACCGTTGGTTAATCGAACTAATCCAATTCTTTTATGCGTTCACCTTTACTTTTAATTTAAGAAAAATAAAAATCAAAAGATAAACTCTAATTTCATAATTATATTTCGATTCCCTTCAATTTATGATGTTGCAGGTAAGTAGTAGTACTGAAATTTTATTTCACTAGCTTATTATGTTATACTTAGCATTTTTTCATATTCAGGCAATCGAACTACGTAATACTTAGAAAAACAATAAAACTTTTAAGTTTTCTCTTGATCTGTCTTTATTAACCTAATTTTATTTGTTAATCAATAATGCTTATAATATAAAATTATTTGGTTATTTTAGTTTTTGTAATTTAAGTGCGCTTAAAACTTGAACAATTTCTTTTAAAAAAATTTAATTTGGACTAAAAGTCCAAATCGATTAATCAAACCAAACCAAATTTGGTTCGGTTCGATTCGATTTAAGAGTTAGAGTGAGTTGGTTTGGTTTGAAATTTGCTCAAACTAACTAATTTTATTTTGGTTTTTGAGTGGAGTCGAAATCAACCCAAATCTAATCGCGTCTAAACTTATGTGGAAGTGAGAAATTGAATTGGACTGAAAGGTGAAAGGTGGTGGTGATTTTTTATTTTTATTTTATTTATTTAATATTTTTTCTTATTTAAAGTTGACTATAAATATATAGTTGTAATTTCGTAAAATAATTTTCTTTTTCTAAGAACAGTGAATAATAACAAAAAGCGCTTAAGAATAGAATGTCGAATAGTTCAATGACTAAAAACAAAAGTGGGGGCTAAAATCGTAAAAGTAGTCAAACAATGTGGGCCCTCTGTGTAATTTCTTAATGCAAGAGGGCGAGTGTTCGTTGGAGAGTTCAACGTTTGAAAGGGTAAACGTGTGGAAAAATGACACACGATTTTGTGATGCGTCTTGCGTGTGCCATAGTAATTTTGAACTACTTTCTGCTGTTGGCTTTGACTACTTAGATTCCCAGTGTGAATCTGTTAATGGATTGTAGGCGGCTGTTTCTCGGTAAATTATCCTAGCTTCTTTTATTGAATATATAGCACCAGTAACGTAAGTTGAATTTTGTTGCTTTGCCGAATTTTTTGTCGGAATGGTTGATATCTTTTTACATGTTCGTGAGTCCTGGATGAATAAAAAAGTCCCAAAAAAAGGTGGGCTGCATCATTGTGAGAGTCGATCACCCCATCTGTCAACCATTTTCGATTATAAGTTACAGGTTCGATTAAATAAAATCTATTATTCATTTCGTCCCATTTATATAGGCTTCTTTTATTTTTCAAATGGATAAATAAATCTTATTTAGTGCTATTGAAAAAATAATTTTGTCAAAAACTTTCCTAGTCTACTGTTATTTATATTTGTACAATTTTAAGATTAAATAGGAAAATTTGATTGTAACTAGGCAAATTAAATAAGGATATATTAGTAAACGAACAAAACAAAACATTTTCAATAAAGAAACTAAACTATATAATTGAGACAAAAACATGTCAGTCTATATAAATGAGATGGAGAGAGTACTTAATATCATGTAATTACTAATTTATAGATTCAATTAAATAAGTCATATAATTTTATATTTAAATATATCTATCATTTAATACCACCTAAACTGCTATTTAACACCAATAATAAATAACATTACTTCGTTTTATTACTCAAACTATTTACAAAGTCAGTTTTATCATCCCACTTTGTCACGATAACAAAATTCTTCGCCCCTTACACACTCCACATAAAACTGTAATAATGTTGGAATACTATTTTTCGTTTCGTCCCCACTTAATCAAAGATTTCTCCTACATCCCTCTTTTACGGGATCAAGGTAGAATTGGACTTTCGATCCCCATTTACGATCCCAATTTTTATTTTTAGAATAAATAACATTAAATAGATAATTGACTTTAAATTTTACGTATGATATTTAAATGGTTAGCTCATTATATGTTTTTCACAAAATGTTATTTTTGCATATGAAATGTAATTATTGAAAATATTTTTATTAATTGTTGTTCGACGAGATGAGGACGAAACCTTCCCCCACCTGGGGTAGGGATTTATCCCCCGTTTGGCCCTCATTAATTTTGATTATAATGAGGCGAATGTTGTTGTTTTTTTTTTTTTTTAAATGAATGGTTGTAAAAGAATGAAAAATTTACGATTTACATATAATATTTTTTTATTAAAAATTGTGTGATTGAAAATAGGAGAGAGAGAAATTTAATTTCATTTGATGAGATTTAATAGGGGTCAAACGGGGCTTAATTTCATTGCCCATTAATTGGGGAATTCCTATCCCATCTCTCATTCATAGACCCACATTGTTCCTACCCATATGAGGGCGGAATCCCCTCGTTGAATGGTAAAAGGGGACTCACGGTCTATACTCGAATTCATCAAACTATTCCGAATTATTTTATTTCATTTTATTTTATAATTTTTCAATTTAAATTACATTTAACAATTAAATAGTGCTGATAATAATATAGGGAAATCTGAATACGTTAATGAACTCCAAGGCACGAAAAAATGTTATCTTTTAAGAGATTTTTCTCCCCTATTCAACAAAGTCACAATTTGGGTATGATAGAAAATCTCTCTCAGGATATAATGGAGGCGTTTGATTCAAATTGTGACTATTTGATCAAACCAAGAAGACACTCGAAAATGACTGATTGATGTCAAGAGAAAGAAGGAAAAATAAATTGTTTAATATGTTTGCAAATGAGAATTCGTCCAGAATTTATAGACACTGAGGCAATTGTTTGAATAGGTGTATCCCTTGGAAGTGACTGTTAAAAATGAACAGATGCACATATTCAAAAACTTTTGAAAATAAAATTCTCTTTCGGGGGCGTTGCCCTCGAGCCCCCACAGGTCGAACCCAGTTGCACAGCGACAAGCACTAATCTGGGCGGCAAATTATTTGCAAAACAAAAAATTAAACACATGCAAAATGATGAAAAATATCTAATAAATAGTAATATAAAAAATTAATTAAATGGAGAAATATAATTTGTTTAATCCTCGTCACATCTGCCCTTTTATCGTATCGTCCTATCCCCCTTCAGGCGCGGGATGATAATGATTCCCCCCACTTCCGATCTGCTTAATTGGCAAATGAAATTTAAAATACTAAATTTTTTATTTTCCTTCTTTACCTGAAAGGAAAGACATAAGGTTAAGACATGAATGGTTTAGATCCTTTAGGAAACCATTTTAACTGTGCACCCACCTAAACTCACTCGATTTCTGTCTATATCGATGATTTTCGATTCAGATAATTTAGTTCTAAAGATAAATTGAATGGATCTATTCGTCTCTCAAGTTTTACTTATCAACTAACGTTACCCAGATTATATTATTTTTTATATTTAAACCTAAATGTTCAATAATGACGAAAATATGGCGGAAGAAACCAAATACACCCAATTTCCAAACTCTCTCTCTCTCTCTCTCTCTCTCTCTCTCTCTCGCCCCTAGCAGCCATCGACGAAGGTAGTACTTAGAATTTTATTGAATTCCCCTTTAAACTTCTCCATGCCCAATTCGAGAATGTTCAACGTTGTAGGCTTGTAGTGACTTACAATTAATGCTTGAATTGGCTAATTTATAAATCATTTATAAATTATCGAACTTTATTTTGAACTCCACATTTTAATAGATCGACAAGTACTATTCACTTATCAACTACTTATATTTATTTATTTATAAATAAAACCTATGAAGGCTTATTCTTTTTCCTTTCTCAACAAACTTGGAAGTTTGAGTTAGTTCTTGAATGTCATCGATTATGTTAGTATATTAAATTGGTTATTCTACTATCTAATCTATTTCTTTCAACTTTCTTGTTGGAAGTGAATTTCATGTTTAGCTGAGCTTAAAAAGATTAATTATAAGTCCAAACTGAATCAACCCAACTGAATTGGTTAAAGATGGTACGGTCGGCTTGCGCTCTTACTTCGAATATTTAACGAACTGATGCAATCGGTTTTGGTTTCAAGTCAGGGCCGAAGCCTGCCGGACTTGACCCACGCCTACTCCTTAATCCAGCAGCTACTAGTCCTTTTTCTTCATTTGATAATTGATATAATTATCCTTATAAATAAAAAGCACGTTCCTTTCGAGTCGGGCCATGACTAGTGGATGACATGCAGAACCATGTCTTCTATACGAGACATAATTTATTTAAATATACTCTTAAATATGTTTTCTACATGCAAGTCATTCGTTATGTTGTCAATACATACATATCTTTTACGATAGATAGTAGCGAGAATTTGATTCTTAACATTTATTTACTATGATACATTCGACATCATCCAATTATAGGATTACAATTAAATTAGCTTAAAACATATCTATTCATCTAAATTTACTCTTGAACATGCTCCTTTAAGTGCAAGGCGGTTGGCAAATTCAATTTTTTCATCTAAAACCCATCATATGCAGGGACTGCACGAATTAAACTCAAGACCCGTGTTTGCTCTAACACGTCGACAACCCAACTCCTAGATTACGAATAAACCAACTTAGGTCACAAAATATTGTCCCAAAAGTGTGAACCATAACTAGTGGATGAGAGAAGCTCTTCCATTTACAGCCTGAATTATATTCCTAAAGATGAAGTCCCTCTTGGATCAGATATCCCCTTATGATCCTTTGTGGGATTTTTGTGATAGATTGGCTTAAGTTTTTGACCCCAGCAGCCCATATGCCCTGCCCATATACCCCATCATTGTTTACGTTTTTTTGCCTATTTAAAGCACTTGGGTATCTCACTCTACTGGAAAAAGAAAATGCCAAATTGGGCTAAAGTTCTTTGAAAACTTTCATCAAA